TTAGATAGTCAACTTTGAATGAGAACAACAGGGACTCAAGACCTGGTCCTAAATCAAACAATTAACAAACAGACTTGGGCTGTTATCAAGTAACGGTCTGATACATGATCTATGTAAAATCAATCCCATGTATAATGTTTACTTATAGAAATATATATAAATAGCATTACGGTACTTTAAAGTGCAGGAGACATCTTTTCTTACCCATATTTTTTAGTCTCATACCCCTGCTTAGCTGAAACAAGCAGTTCTGTCCAAACTTACATGCATTGACTCGATCACGAAAACTGCTTAAAAAGTTCTTTCAGTTCTCCACATAAGTTATTTTACTTGTTTCAACAGAATTAATTCATAACATAGAGCCATGTTGGTCCTTCTGCTGTTCACATCCAGAGCAGTTACTGTAACTGCAGTGTTAAGCACCATTACTGTAGCATGTTTACCCTCTGATTTGATGGCTCTTTGATACTTTTCTAGCTTATGTTATATTCTTTTAGTTAAATATATCCCAAAAAAATAAATACATATGCATAGACATAGCTTTGTTTTTGGATTTCTAAAATTAAATGACAGCTGTTGAAGATACACAGCCAATAAAGTCACAGCCAGTAATCCAATTTTAGGTATGAGGAGCAGAATTAGGTCACAGATTCCTGATACCTGTTATTAAAAATAAATTTGCAATCATGACATCTATTTAATTCAAGGCATCGGGTTCAGTACCAGAGAAAAAAATGTAAGTGGTGAAACAGCTGAGGGGTAAAATCTAAACTTTTTTTTTGTTTTCTTAGTTCTGGTGTGAACAATACAATCACTCTAGGTGATTGTATGTAATATGTACCACCATCTGAAGAGGGTGAAAAACATGCTTATCCACTCGTCGAAATTTGATAGCCTTAAAAAACTTAGACAGACTTTATTGTCATTTTGCACACACAAAAAGAAATTTCGTTCAATAAAGCTCTCAAGACACTTCAATTTTTGTGCAGTAGTGATACAAAGTGATAAAAAGAGTGTAAATCATTGACAGATGTCTCATAATTATTCCCCTCTGAACAATATTTTTATGTTTTTTCTTTTTGTGTGTCCTCAGGCCAGTCTACGCAGTCCTGAGCTGACCTGGGAGAGGGTTCGCTCTCAGGTCGACCACATCATCTGGCCAGATGGAAAAAGGGTTATTGTGCTGGCAGAGGTAAATCCCTAGACATTAACGTCAATCCTCACACTTCTTGTTGCTACAACAGTTTCATGCTTCCGATTTTTTTAATTTGTTCATAGAATTTATAAGTAACTTTTTGTTTCAGGGTCGTCTTTTAAATCTGAGCTGTTCTACAGTGCCTACATTTGTTTTGTCCATCACTGCTACTACTCAGGTCAGTTTTATTGGCCTTCAGCTGAACAATGTTTGCAGGTTAGGTGTGTGAGTCTTAGATCTCTGTCCTCTTTGTTGTCCGTAGGCTCTGGCCTTGATTGAGCTGTACAACGCTCCAGAAGGACGTTACAAACAGGATGTTTATCTCCTGCCCAAGAAAATGGGTAAGAGTTTTTTTTTCTAAAAACTGCTCACTGCTGCCACCCTATGACGCCCCCAAAGATCCACAGCTTTTATAAAGGTAAAGATTAAGTCAGCCTCATCCATAGTGAATTACTCTGTCTTTGCTCAGATGAATATGTGGCCAGTCTGCACCTGCCTAACTTTGACGCCCATCTGACCGAGCTGTCTGACGAGCAGGCTAAGTACATGGGGCTGAACAAGAATGGCCCCTTCAAGCCAAATTATTACAGGTTGGGGGCATTTAGCCTTTTCCTTTTACTACTTTTCATTTTAAATCAAATGATTTCAAAAGAGTACAATAAAACTGTGTTTATCTTACAGGTACTAGAAATGATATCTGCTACTCAGCAAAACGTCCTGAGACAAACAGAGATATCTATTTTATTTTATAAACTACTGCAAAATGGAGGAATTATTTTACCTATGCTGAATGTAACTTATTAATAGCACTTCAAAGTAGAATTAAATATTACAGGAAAAGTTATATAGAGAATCTATAATATATAATCAACTAACATGAATCTGTTCTGTGTTCAGAGAGCATCCTACTTGCATGCGTTGATGTTTCTGTGTATTAAGTTGTTAGTGATTTTTTTTCCCAATGACAAAGCCGTTGATTTGTTTGTTTACTATATTTATGCACAGTGCCAAATAATGGCCATTCTGTTTTGTTGTCAGTGGCAATTGAATAAAAAACTATGGGCACATTCATTAACCAGAGTTTAGGCTGAGCTGAAGTAGACTCTGTATTACTATGCGTAATATTTTAGTTTTATTTGCATAAAGGCATTTTTGGAATTATGTGATCACATAAGCTCTAAAGGTAACATTCACTCATTCTTGAAACATAAAAAATGCATTCATATAGATTTTTCTTTTAGATTTTGTCATATTACAACCATAAACTTCAATGTATTTATTGGGATTTTCTGACAGAACATTACAAGGTAGCCAAAGAAGACGATACAACTTATTATTGATGTACACTGATTAAAAAGTTTGGGTTGCATGAAATGGATTTCCTTTCCCTACAGATAGTGCTAACAGTGTTTTATTTTCTGTCTCTACCACCTTTCCCTTTGCACAATTAGAGACAAATCACCATTTTACAAGATGGGAATAGTCTGTAATATTCCTTGTCAAAGTGTAAAAGTGTTTGATAAAATAGTTTTGATTTTCATCTGACCAGAACACCTTCTTTAGCACATTTGCTAAATAGTGTGACTTGTTGCAAATAGAAAGCAGTACTGTACTTCTTTCAATAATGACTTTGTTCCTGTTGCACATACTACTTTAAAAAATCTAGGTCCTTCAAATGTTCTTAAAATAAGTGCATTTTTTCTTGAATTGATCAGGTAAGTGAGGCAATTTCCTAATAGAATAAGACAATTTACACTTAAAACAGGGGAAAAAAACACTTGCAGTCTCTTATTTTAGGTACTTGCATGTTGATGGTAAAAACACTCATTCCATTGGCAGATAATTTTATTTATCTGCTCAAATTAATGGTAAACATACTTTTTTAAAATACATTTTTAATAAATCCTTTTTGCAGTGAATAAAGATGAAGCTTGTAGAGTGCACAACAAATGATGCAGTTGTCCATAGGTTATATTGTTGTTCTCCACAGCTCCTCAGGAGTAATCACAACCCTTATGGCTGCACCTCTAAACAATGATGTCTTTACAAGCCTGCTAGTTTAGGAGGCAGCTATAACTAATGTCTGAAAGGGAGCCATTTAAAAAAAAATTACTTATATGTTTCCTCTAAATCCATTTGCACTGTATTGGTATTTTTTATTGGTATAAGAGTAAAAGGGGAAAATATAAATGCTTGCCACACTCTTCAGATCCTGGTTTCCATTTATATCTTTTCTCACTTTTCACAAATATGCAACTTTGTGTTTGTCAGTCAAATACAATAACTGAAGTTTTTGGTTGTAGCATAACAAAAGATGAAAAAAATGTAAAAGTTTAGAAAATTTTTTTCAAGGCACTGCTAACCAGCACTAGAAACTAAGAAGAACTAATATATATAATATAATATGTATATAACTTATATATACAACTTAACTTGTTAGAACATCATGAGGCGTTAAATATTACAAGCTTTACATAATACTGAAGGAGATTTTGAAAAATCCTGAGAAGTAAAGCTGTAAGGGTCACTTCAATAAATAAAAACATCCCATATTTATTTCCAAGTTTCCATTTGCTCCCTGACATTCCACTCCTGATCTCTGTCACTGTAGAGCCTTTTGCCTGGGTGATGCCTTTTAAGGCCATGGTATGAATGTGCCTTTTCGATTAGTTACAGCTCTGTATTTAAAGAGGTTGGGACACTGTTTTAAATAGAAATATCTGGGAAGCACCCAATAGTCCACTGTTTTTAGAAATAAAATATGTTGATCTTTCTGGTAGGAATTGTTCTTTTTATTGCAACAGGTCACGAAAAAGACTGAAATATCTCTCTGTGAGATTATTGGTAGGAGAGAAACTTCTTAAGCAATAAGTTGAACAGGTAAATTTCGTTGCTAGGAAGATTTTGAGACCAAGAGATAAAATCAGATTAGAGCTACAAGAATACAAGGAATTGCTTATTTCAGCAAAAATACCTACACAGTAATACCTTCAGGTCCCTATAGCCCTGATCTTTCACTGTGATCAGTTTTGTCACCACTAGATGACTGTAAGTAACATTTTATGTGTTTAAATTACTTTTTTTCCCCCCAAGCATATTCTTAGTATGATTTAAAATTAGACAGACCATATATTAGTTTCAACAACTGCATTATGTGGTTTAGTTAAGACAGTCCAAAAGTGTCCAAACTTGTTTTGAAACAGGCTTTATATAACAATCAGCATTGACTTTAGTTTAACAATCATTCCTTTTTGTTTTTGACAACAAATATTTAAACAGGATGTCTTCCTTCTTCTGCTTCTGGTAGTAATTGTAACCCCAACAAATAAGATGTATAAAAAAAAAAAAACAACTTTAGACTTTATGTCTGGCATATGATTGTCATTGTCTTATTTTGATTTAAACTTGGTTACCTTAAATAGCATTTTATGTGATTGAAATGACATTAAGTGTACTATGTATGTACATTCATGCATTAAATCAGCAATAAAGCAAAGCTTTCCAATCCGCATTAAAACTGTGTTTCTTTTTCTTTTTGGAAAGGGGGGGTTAGTTATAGAAATAAGGTTGCAGTTGGAGCCCTTCGGAACTTCCTCCCAGCTCCCTGAATGGACCTAAATGCTAAATTCTCTGCATTGCTTTCCTTACAGTCAGCTGTGCTGGCTGAGCGTCAAATGACTCTTCCTCTCTGGAATATTCACGACTCTTACGCTCTAGGCTAGCTGCATTAGTTTCTAAAATTAACTGTTTGGTCACTGGACCTGAAGGAGGAGGAGGGGGGTACTGGGAGGCTTCTGGAAACCTGGGTGTTGCTATATAAGCAACAGGCCTGTAGAAGTCGTGCAGTTTCAGAAGAAACACCTGACGGCAGAGACTGACACAAAGGAACTTCCCAGCGGAAATCCTTCCTTCCTCTCACTTGGCAACAAAGAGAACAGCAGTGACTGTAAGTAGCTGAAACTCTACAATTTCAGCAGTCTAAAACCTTTAAACACATTAAATTGCATAAACTAAGTAGTGACTATTTTCACTTTATTTCTTGAATGAAAATGCCTGAAAGATAAGTAAATTATTTTAAATTGAAATTTTGAAAGGAAAGTTACTTTTTAAGGCTTATTCCAGCAATAAATGTGGAGGGTTGCTGAGAGTTATTTTATCTTTCCTTATCACATATTGGGTGGTTTTATAGAAATGTAAGTCTGGTTGTATGATGTTTAGATACATAGATATAATTCTTCCGACAGGTTCAATAATTTCAATAAATCTGAAATGAACAAAGGTAGCAAAGTTAATATATTACTAGAGACAAATAGAATCACCATGTATTGCAGAAGTATAAAAACAGACACTGAGAACCTACGTTTAAATACAAGGCATAGTGGAAAGCAACAGGCTTATAAATTATAGGCAGGACAACCACACTGAATTAAGGTCACCCCTCAAGAACACTTTAGGGCATGGGTAGCCAATTAAAAATGAGTGGGGTCCAAATAAAGAAAATGAACAACTAGTAAAGGTCCAGAGACATTTTAATTATAGTCTGTTACTTTAAACAGCATTTATGAAATGCAAGTGTTTATGCATCAATGTTATATATTGAATTAAAATATATATATATATATATAAAAAGTGGAATGTTTTTCCATTTTAAAATCCAAATTGTTTGCCTGCTGTGTCTAAAAGGGGCCAACAGCAGCAACCCTAACTGACACAGCTCATTGTCTAATTTGTATCACGTACAGCCTGGTACTGGGGGTTCCGAGTGGCTTTAACATACAAACAGGAGAAGCGACGCATGTGACGGTTGGACAAGATGCAGTAATTTATAAAAGTTTTAAATCAGGTTGGGTCCGGATCCGGACCCTGGTCCACTAATCCGTGACCTTTGCTGTAGGGCAACACTTTTTTAGTTTTTACAATACCGAAATATGAATTGTTTTGCCAAATGTCTCAAAGTGTTGACTTGCTGCAAAACCACCCAAGGATACTATTAATGGCTAATTAAAAATGTTTCCATAGATGATAATTATGATAAAGTTTTCCTTTGTTGTGATGCTTTTGTCAAAAATAACTTTTAAAATAAGATTTTCTTATTCTGATTCTATACAGGTTAATCTAAAAAAAGCAAGATGTCATCAGCTAAGGGAATATCCATTGGCATCGATCTGGGCACCACCTACTCTTGTGTTGGGGTTTTCCAGCATGGAAAAGTGGAAATCATCGCCAACGATCAAGGCAACAGGACAACTCCTAGCTATGTTGCCTTTACTGACACAGAGAGACTCATCGGAGATGCTGCTAAGAACCAAGTTGCCATGAACCCCACAAACACTGTCTTTGATGCCAAACGGCTCATTGGAAGAAGATTTGATGACCCAGTGGTTCAAAGTGACATGAAACTCTGGCCCTTCAAGGTGGTCAATGACAATGGGAAGCCCAAAGTCCAGGTGGAATATAAGGGAGAAACAAAGACTTTCTGTCCTGAGGAGATTTCTTCAATGGTCCTGGTTAAAATGAGAGAAATAGCTGAGGCCTTTTTGGGACAGAGGGTATTGAATGCGGTCATCACAGTTCCAGCTTACTTTAACGATTCCCAGAGGCAAGCCACAAAGGATGCTGGAGTCATCTCGGGCCTAAATGTTCTGCGTATCATAAATGAGCCCACAGCAGCAGCCATTGCCTATGGCCTGGATAAAGGTAAAAGAGGAGAGTGCAATGTTCTCATCTTTGATCTAGGTGGAGGCACTTTTGACGTGTCAATCCTGACCATTGAAGATGGCATATTTGAGGTAAAAGCCACAGCAGGGGACACACACCTCGGTGGGGAGGACTTTGACAACCGAATGGTCAACCACTTTGTGGAGGAATTCAAAAGAAAACACAAGAAGGATATCAGCCAGAATAAGAGAGCAGTGAGGAGACTCCGCACGGCCTGTGAGAGAGCAAAGAGAACATTGTCCTCCAGCACTCAGGCCAGCATTGAGATTGACTCACTGTTTGAGGGGATTGACTTTTACACATCAATCACAAGGGCACGCTTTGAGGAACTAAACTCTGACCTCTTCAGGGGAACACTGGAGCCTGTTGAAAAGTCCCTACAAGATGCTAAACTGGATAAATCCAAGATTCATGAAATTGTCTTAGTTGGTGGTTCTACAAGAATCCCCAAAATCCAGAAGCTCCTACAGGATTTCTTCAATGGTAGAGATCTGAACAAGAGTATCAACCCTGATGAAGCCGTAGCCTACGGTGCAGCAGTCCAGGCTGCTATCCTCATGGGGGACACCTCAGAGAATGTCCAAGATTTACTGCTTCTGGACGTGGCACCCTTGTCTCTGGGCATTGAGACAGCTGGTGGTGTTATGACACCCCTTATCAAATGGAACACCACTATCCCCACAAAGCAGACTCAGATCTTCTCCACATACTCTGATAACCAGCCAGGAGTCCTGATTCAGGTGTATGAAGGTGAAAGAGCCATGACCAAGGACAACAATCTCCTTGGAAAGTTTGAGCTCACAGGTCTCCCGCCTGCTCCCAGAGGTGTGCCACAGATTGAGGTCACCTTTGACATAGATGCCAATGGTATCCTAAACGTATCTGCAGTGGACAAAAGCACTGGCAAAGAAAACAAAATCACAATTACCAATGACAAGGGCAGACTCAGCAAAGATGAGATTGAAAAGATGGTACAAGGCAGAGGATGACAGGCAGAGAGAGAAGATCACAGCAAAGAATTCCTTAGAGTCCTACGCTTACCACATGAAGAGCAGTGTTGAAGATGAAGCCTTGAAAGGAAAAATAAGTGAAGAGGAGAAAAAACTGGTCATCGACAAATGCAACCAGACAATTTCCTGGCTGGAGAACAACCAGTTGGCAGAGAAGGAGGAGTATGAGCACCAGCAGAGTGAGTTAGAGAGGGTGTGCAAACCAATTGTGACTAAGTTGTACCAGGGGGCAGGATCAGCAAGCTGCGGCAGCCAGGCTGGAGGTAGCTCTCAAGGTCCCACTATCGAGGAGGTTGACTGAATTTAGGGACTGTGGCATTTCACCTCTAAAGAACATTTCTGACTGATGTTTCATTTCAAGAAAAGCTTTTCACTGTTTCTAAATATTTATAATAAACATTGAAAAAACCCCATTGGTGTTCCATTATTATTAACCATTAATATAGTTTATTTAAGTACTTCAGCATTTGAGTTAAAAAAAAAGAATACACATGCAAAGACTCAGATAAAAATGCCCAATAAAACTGATTTTTGAGCTAAGAATGAGTATTGATAGAATGATAGGCACACCTGAAAAAGCAATAATAATCAAAAAAAAAATATCTTTACCTATATTAGTCTTCAATTTACAGATGCATTTCCGTTAATGGAAATATTATCACAGAGTTAATACAATTGAATAATAAAGATAAAAGGGAAACTCATGTATAGACTCAGTATCCGAATAGTTATATGTAAATTGTCTATTTTGTTCATTTTGAAGTCTATGGCTTACTTCTAATGAAGAGGTAATATGGAAAAAGACTGGGAAAAAAGGAAATAATATGTTTTAACATTTAGTTATGGCCACAAAATCGTGGAGAGGACAACTAACTTGACATAACTCAGCATTATAATGAAAAGTGGAAAACAAACATGTGGTTGAAAAAGGCACACAGACAACAAGGACAGCCACAGTCTTTGGAGTTTGGAAGAGCTTTGTGCAGTATGGACTGCAGCTGGAATAAAAGCTTTAAGAACCACCACAGATACGGTTTACATACCTTCAAATTAAACAGAAAAAAATCAGCTGCCAGGGAAATACATTGAAATTGACAAAAGTAATATATGCAACATATAAACGTACATATATATAGACAGATAGATGTATATCTACACATATATACAAATATTTGTCATTGCTATTGTTTGTGATCAGTTGAGATTCACCTATAATTCAGTTGTTCATTTAACATGTTATTCACTAAATATTCCACTAGAGGGAAACCTTGAGTCGTTGCTTATTTAAACGTAGCAGAAGCCCAACAACTACCTGTTGGATCTAACTAAACTATAATTTACTTATCAAACAAATAAATAAAAAACCGGGGATGGAAATTAAACATGAATTTACGTTTTTTTTTTATTCAGCCATATGAAATTAATTAATTGATAATTGGGTGCGTTTGCTTTATGAAAGATTTTTGTTTATTTACCAGATTAACGCCAACATTTCCAGTGGCAAATGACAGATTCATGTATTTACTCAGTATTCAATGCAGGCCACCCTGAAGGCATTGTAAACAAGTCTAATTACGCAGGGTTATTGCCCTCACCTCTCCGTGTCTAACGCAAACAGCTCATCATGAGGCTGATGCGCTAATTAGCGGGAGCCGCTCTTCAATAAATGATGCGTCAGCCCTCGGCAAAGCAAGGGTTAACTCGGTCAGCCTGTTGTTCTCCGTTTAGTCCAACCGGGCTGTGTCTCTAAGGGAGAAGAAGCTGCGCTTCAGGAGGTGCAACAGATCTCCAGCTGGAAAACGAGCTCACATCTGGCGCGCAAGAGGAGCTCCTGTTTAAGCGCAACCTGTGCGCGTAATTCCTCGGAGCTGGATCACATTCCCTTTGTGTAAGTGGAGAGGAAAGTAAACAGTGATTGGATTTGATTTAAAGGACATAAATGTGATTAGAATAGGGGAGTTTATCGTGCGTAAAGCCAATTCCATGTAAATGAATGAGAAGCTTTTGCAGAATCCGGTTAAATATTTTCAACAGGTGGTTTCCTTTACTTTGATGTTTGTTTTTTTGTTTTTCCACCTGGCAGCATCAACTCGTGGGTCACCACCAACACTGAGCTCAGACTGACATGAAGACGCGCCTCCTCTTCATCTGATCGCTCATCTCTTACGCTTCTAAATGATCAGCTCCGTGTGCGTTTCGACTTATCGAGGGCGCAAGTCAGGAAACAAACCTCCGTCTAAATCATGCCTGAAGGAGGACATGGCGAGAGGCGAGGACTCGGAAAAAATCATCATCAACGTCGGCGGCACCCGGCATGAGACCTACAGGAGCACCCTCCGGACCCTGCCGGGGACCCGCCTGGCCTGGCTGGTTGAAACAGACTCTCAGGGCTGCTGCTCCGAATCAGACGCCGATCCTCCGGTGGCCTCCGAGTTCTTCTTTGACAGACACCCGGGCATCTTCGCCTATGTGCTCAACTATTACCGGACCGGGAAGCTGCACTGTCCTGCAGACGTGTGCGGCCCCTTGTTCGAGGAGGAACTGGCCTTCTGGGGGATAGATGACACCGATGTGGAGCCCTGCTGCTGGATGACCTACCGACAGCACCGGGATGCCGAGGAGGCCCTGGAGATATTCGAGCCGCCCGACCCGGAGGACACAGACGATGACAGGGACACGCCGCGACGGTTCGGCATTGAGGACACCAATCACGGGTCCAGAGGATGCTGGGAAGTTTGGAGACCCAAAGCCTGGGCCTTGTTTGACGACCCTTACTCATCCAAAGCAGCCAGGGTGAGTTCACCTCATGGGTTCTCATTGGACCCTTGTTTTACTCCCAGATTGACACCAGCACTGTTATCTTCTGTTTGATATATTTGTTTTTTTCTTGTTCACAATCAACAGGTGTGCCTAAAAGTTTCAGCCAATCAGACTGCAGCATGTGTTTTTAACTCTATACGCTGGAGGAATAATCACAGTGAAGAACTGAAGTAATGCGCCACCCAATCAGTGATATGCATTCAGTATATATTAAATAAAAACTAATACATATTTTATACAGACAGGTCTATGCAACCAACAGGTGAAATAGCCAGCTAAATAGACTGTTCTCTATGGAGGACCACCTCTGCCATATCAAAAAATAAATATAGAAATAAATAAATGCTCAATAAATAAATAATCATTCAATTAATTTCCCCCAAAAATACAATAAACAAATAAATGTGGGTAAATATAGGGACCAAATGTTCAATTTTAACAATATAGATTAATGCTAAGGAGATGCAGCCAATAAAAATAACATTGTATGTTCTGTACAAAGCCTTATTAAGAAAACCTTATAGACATTAAATTGCTATTAGGTTTTAAAGTTTAGTTATAGTTAATTTAGCAGTAAACAGGGATTGGAACTGCCATTGAGTAGCCTATTGGTTAGCAAGTGTTGCATTTGCCTGGACCTGGACTGTTACTGTTCCTTAAAACACATACAGGTTTGGTAAAAATGTATATGACAAATTTCCCCACTAAAGATCAATAAGCTCTAAATAAAAATAAATGAGAAATGAAAGTTTGGGAAAGTTACAAGCAAAAATAAAAGATTAATTTGTATTCTCACTGTGTATATTTTGCTGAAGGTTGTTGGTTAAACTATCTCAATTCTTCCAAATTATCTTTTTTGACAGTGCATAAAAAACTGGCTACTAGTAATTTAAATGTTCTCTAGAAGAGTGTGATATTTACAAGCCTTTCAGGTGACTACTGCTTTACACTGCTAGTCTGTTCCAGTGATTGGTCCATAGAAAGAATGTTGAGCAGTTGCAAGGGGGGAGCAGTATTGCACTTATTTAGAAAAAAAGAAATAATGAAAAAGGTATTCATGTATAGTCATGCAGCAAAATAATAAGAATCTCAATGTGCTGTATATTCAGTGTCAGTTTCATCTTGCAAGTGAAAATAAAACTGAATTTACTTTGTATTATAACTACTATTAGAAGCTGGACTCTGGTGTAGTTCAAAGGTTTGGCGAGAAAGCACTGTGATCTCTCTACGTCATTGGAATGTCTGGAGAACTAATTTTAACCTGTTGGAGAAAATGAATTGAAGTATAGGCTGGGACATGTGCTGACATGTATGAAGTGAGCGTTGTGTGATGGATGGATGGATGGATGGATGGATGGATGGATGGATGGATGGATGGATGGATGGATGGATGGATGGATGGATGGATGGATGGATGTACTGTAGAAGTAGCAATAATGTGGTCAGTATCTTTTTTATCTAATTATTTTGTTGTTTTTAAATAGTTTGTCACAAAACAGATCTTAATGTGATTGATGACATATACAATCCTGTAATATATGTTATTTTTATTTATTGATAAACATATCTTAGTCTCTTATTATTGATAAATATCTAGAATCTCCTTGCTTCTTTAACTCTGATAATCTGAAGGCAAGACTCCTGAAAAATGGTTGGAATGAGACCATTTGATTAATAAAGTTCAGTGCAGCTTATGAAACCTTAATATGTTTACATGGTAACTCTGACAAAGAAGATCGTGTCATGTCCATATCTTAAATATTTATGGATTGAACTAGCATCTCTAACAATAGAAATATCTGTTTTTAGAATGTCAGATATAAAATCTTTCTTGTTTCTTAGTGCATTTAGTTCAGCAGCTGTTAAATCCTCTTTGAACAAAGAGCACACTATCTCATATTTTTAACTGTGTTGGGGAAAAAAAACCAAACCAAACAAAAAACTGTCCACAAAATGTTCCTATGTGCTCATAACTCTAATCTTCATCTGAATCCTTGTATTGTGCGTTCTTAATTTAAGGCTTAAATACAGCATCCCTCCACATTTTTCCAGAGCTAATATGCCAGCCACCTGGCCAAAGACTTTATTAAGTTTTAGACATTGTCAGCTGCTTCCACTTGGTACTTGGTTATTTGAGAGGAAATTTCCTAAAATGTGTTTAATGCTCAGGTTTAAGTAATCACAGTACCACTCTACTTACCAACTCCTATTAATTCAGTTGAACTGAGTTTATTTTTCTAGCACCAATTCACAATACATGTTATCTCAAGGCACTTTACAGAGACAATTCAACCAGATCATACAGTCAGATTGGTTCAAAGTTTTCTATCTAAGGAAAACCAGTTGATTGCATTGACTCACTGACTTTAAGGTAATCCTTCACACCAAAAACCTCCAGCAGAACCAGACTCAGTGACCTGTTTGTTCAAAAATATTTGTGGAAAAAGTGCATGCATATAAGGCGGATTAAATAAATCTGTTTGCACTAAGCAGTCAAATATAGATAATCAACACAGAGCCTCTCCACATAAAATTTCTGTGATAAAGTACAAGAAAACATGTTGGGCTTTTCATTGACCTTTCTATGAGCATGCCTCTATTGCTTGTACACAAGGAATGCCTTTAACAGTGCAGCATCAGAAGTAGCGGCTACTAAGAGGAAAATGATGGTCCTTTCAAGCCTCCCTGTAAAGCTACTGATGTCTCTGTTATACATAGCACTGATTTCAATAATCTCACTCTACCTCTGGTGTGCAAGAATGTACCGTTAAACAAAGCAGGTATGATATAGAGTTAATGTTTCTAGAAATCCTGAAGCTGGAAGAAAAAAGGAAAACAAAATGGTAACCAAATTTACAAAAAAAAAAAAGGTGGAGATAATAAATGAGCACTTTATCGATCCCTGAAATGAGACAACAGAACTCGTCACCCGGTTTAGTTTTATTTACACCACTTTACGGTGTGGTGGAAACCACAGTCATTGCTGATGACAAACAAAGATCCCTCTGTGGGTATTTTGAGAAATAAAAACAAATGGCTGAAATATCACAGCAGAAATAATGCTGTCTTAGATTAACATCTCACTAGTGATTGCACACAAGCTTTAGTTTACATTAAACAGATATAGTTTTGTGGTCAAATGAATGCGAACTTGATGAGTTGAAGTTGCTTTTATTCTTCATCCTGAGGCTATACAGCACTCCAGCTGTAGGCTATTGAATGGATGCTATATGTCTAATGGCTCAATAACAAAAGCTGCAGAGTGTTTACTGAAGTAACCATGAAAGCAAGTATCAAGTGTCATCAGCAGGAGTTGTCAGGCCAGAGAAGAAAATGTGTTTAGCTGAGAAAGATTCTTTTCAGTCAGTAATATCTGTCGGAGCGTGCAGCTGAGTGGTCTCTGCAGAAACCCTCTGTTTTACATAAATGTAATGTTCTCGCCGTAGTCCGGTCGGACTACAACTGTTTATGTAAACTGTTGATCCAGCCTTGTGGAACAGCTGACATCTGCAGCGTCTGTGTAGCTTCACAAGACCTGCACTGCCATACCTGCTAATTTATCATGTCTGTCAGAGCTGTGTGTTTGCAGAGGAATCTGTTCGGAAAGATGTTCCAAAAAAAGATTAAAAGAAATCTGGAGTCCAAGTAGTTTCATATTGACCTGATCCTAATGTATTCTCCACTTCCTTCTCCTGACAGAACATGTATGTATGTTTACTCTGTGTATCATTGGAGGATGCTCTCTGAGAAGAGGAAGAGCCTCCCATTACTTTTATGGCCTTTTTATTTCAGAGAGCTTCTCAGCTCCTTTCAGGTAATGTGATTCCTGAAAGCTGTGGAAAAGCTCATCTGTGCAACGTAAAAGTCACATCATTCAGCATTCTGCATTTAAAGATGACTGTATTCAAATGGCTGACTTTCATGTTAAATGTGAAGGCATACACAGAGCCTTGTAACATCCCCTGATCTTGTTTTGCATTTTTCACGATGCAGGCGCAAACTCCAGCATATATTGGTGGATACAATCTAGAGATTGAAAATAGAGTTTCTGTGACCATTTTTCTGCAAGACTTACCACAGAATATCTTTTGGGTTGAGGGCTGGACTTGAACTGGACCACTTTCACACATAAATATGCTTTTGTCCAAACAACTCCATTTTTGATTTTTAGCCTCTGTTGGTTTTTCTTTCAGGATTTCTTCATTTATCTCCATTCACATTCCCACTATCTTAGACAGCGTCATGCCAAAGCCAATCCAGAGTGCCTTGGATTGTCCCCATGGCCTCCTTTTGGTATGATCTACCTAGACTAGATCCTAAACTTGTGAGCTTATTTAAGCTGCTTGATTTGTCCAGTTTTTATTACAGTTGGTAAAGAAATGAATTTAAACTGACCAGTAAATTGAGAGTTTAATCTTTTAGCTCAGCTCTCTGTTCACCACAACATACCAGTGCTGCCTCCTCATTACACCTGCAGCTGCACTGATGCGTCTGTCAATCTCAGTTCTTTTCTACCCTCACTTGTGACCAGCATCCCAGCAACACTTGATTTCCTTAACTTGAGAGAAAAACTCTGCTACCACCTTTTGAGGGGAAACCACCCTTTTCCACTTGAGAACCATTGATTAGACATAGAGGAGCAGATCTTCACAATGATTATCAAAGGTAATGTGGAGGATTTTCGCAATTTTTTTTAAAAGTCCCACCCTCTCCACTTAAAAAAAATGCACATGCACAATCCTGTACCGGGTCCTGAGAGGAGATGCCTATCAAACATGTGCGATAGCATGCATGAGCCCATTTCTCCTCGTGCAGTCTCTATTTAAAAGTTGTTCTCATTGCTCATACCTGCTTACTGTGTTAGAATGTCTGCCTTAACCCCTAAATTCCTCAATCCCAATATACAGTAGAGCAGGGACTATATAGTCGGCTTTATAACAAACTCAGTTAACTGCTCCGTTGGTCACATAGCT